TCAGGTTCAGGCGGGGCCAGAATACATGGCAATATTTTCTTTGTCAACGTATACTATTGCAGTAATTATTAGCGACGTCTACTTTTGAAGGATGTTCTTTTGACAAATTATAAGAATTTTGGCGAGCGGGTTGATGACGATTTGACGCTTACCAAGAAACACCGAGGTGAAACTGGGGGCGTGGCTCAGCCTCATTTACCTAGCGACAGAAGTGACTGTCGATTTTTAAATGCCAGTTAGGTGTACCCAAATACGAGCACATAAATAATTTGTCTAGTATGTCAAATGCATCTCGAATGTTTGTATTTGAAGCTCTCTAATGGCTTACGACTGGGTGGCGTCATTTTCAATTGATCATTTCGAATTGTTAAAATGCTAGTCCAGAATCTATTCTTAAAACTTGAAAACAGCTTACAGAGATCATACACAAATCGCCGTCCCTGGATGACTTGAGTTAATTCAGATGGTAGTGACCTACGTCCACAAGGTTCTAGCCATCGAACGTATTTTATTAGACTGTGTTCCATTTTGTTCTGTGCAAGGCGTACTTGGGTCGTAAAGCCCATTTAGGGGCAGACTTTGATATAAAGTTTTTCTGAAGAATTTTTTCCAAGAGTAACCCGTCTGGCTGCAAACTTAATTTTTACATAATTTATTCCGCAATCTTTTTCCAATCATTCAGTCTTTTGCGAGGAAGCTGTGAGCACGAATTTAATCTGTGGTTTTGGATGACCCTGCACTTTAATCAGCTCGGTTTGAAATGCTTTCACGATGATGTTATAGACCTGTAAAACGCGTAATATGAAAAAAAAATCCAGAGATGAAAAAGCAAAGTTCTGAAACTCATTGTATTCAATGAGTTTTTAATACTTTTTTAGTAGCGTCTGCAATCTGCAATCCCATAGCACTGGATCGCTGATAAATTAACGCGAGGTTAAACAGTACAAACGAGCAAACAATAATAATAAAATACCTTTAACGCCTGAAAACGCCAAACAGCACCAAACCAAGAGAAGCAGGCCTTCCTTCGCTGAAAATGCCATGATTTGAATTTCTGAAGTGGTAACCCTTTCTGGATAAAGTAGGACTGCCGCAAGGTACCACTCTTTTAGAAAGACACACCACCTCAAGATCACGTGAAAGACAGTTATATGATTGGAAAGAATACAGCCAGATATAGAATATCAGATGTCATTTTTTTTTTTAATATCAAACGTGTCTCAGCTGTTTTGAGCTTAAGCCCGACCGAAAAGTACAATAGATTCTTGACAAAATAAATAGTCACGGGTAACCTTTAAATTAATTTCGACTGATCGACGAAAATTGAAAAGAAAAATTAAAAACATAGAGACAAGAAGGGCTGAGCATGCATATGTAGTGTATTAAAATTTTTGTGGAAACTGCCATATCTTCTTTAATTCCGTTACGAAAATGTGATCCATGTGAAATGCACGAATTTGAGCCAGGGGAGGATCTTCTGAAAGTCGTCAGAAGGTCTCATCTGCTACTTCATAGCACTGTATTATGTCCTTAAGTCTAGGATCTTCTCAGCGCATGAATATGCGGTACCTTTGCGATAAAGTATCATATTTCGTTTCTTTCTGGTTGACAGGAAAGCCCCGCATTTTGGTGCAAAAGCTCAGTCATATATCGCATCTGAGTGCGATAAGAACCAAAAATGAAAAGCGAGTCTAACTCATTTTGAAATGTAGAGTCTGCAGCTCTCCCCAATTTCGTTCCAAACGAAAGCGGCTAAAGGTTTTAAATTGTTTCATCAAAAACGTCAGCCAAGCAAGAGTATTTGGCATTTGAAGAAAGTGAACTTGAAGTTTCCGACTGAAGACGACACAGACGAAAGTTTAAATTTCCTTAGGCTGTTTCATTTTAAGTTTCTTTCGTCAAGAATATTATTGTTGGACGAGGTGTTTTATTTTACATTACTTAAGACTGTGTTGACAATCTGGTGTCAGAGCGTATTTTTGGAAATGAAAAGCGTTTCAGCTGTTTCAGCCTAAGTCAGGCGCAAAAAGACAATGGACTCTTGACAAAGTAAATAGTCACCGATAATCTTTAAATCAATTGTAATTGATAAAAAATGAAAAAGAGAGATGAAAATATTAGGCATTTGGAACTGATCAAGCCGAATAATAGATGGATCTTCCCTCGATTCGATTGCTGAAAATTGTTTTTGTTTCTTTATTTGTTCGTTCGTGGCAAACTTCTCTATACAATTTTTTAATTTTGATGTAAGAATGTGATCCCTCGGCGATGGACAAATTTTAAGCTGGAGGCGGATCTTCTGAAGCCTCTCAGAAGTTCAAATCGTCTGCTTTTTGAATGCCTGGGATCTCAGCTATAGTAGGTGTATACAGGGATGCGGGGGTTAATTGCGATATACGGTATCTTAAAGCTGAAATATGTTTATTTCATTTAGCTTCTCTTTTAATGCTGGTGCAAAGAATATGTTTGGATTTCTTTTAACCGAATAATTTTTGGACGAATTGGGAAAATAAATATGTATACAAGGAAGGTTTCTTTTTCGATATATTCATCCTTTCGATGGGTAGTTCGATTCAATACATAGCATGCCCTTGACCCCTCCGCCCCCGCCCATCCCCCTCCACTATTACTTCCCACAACCCTTGGTTAACCCTGTGAGAATGTTTTCAAGCCTAAACCCACAGTGTTCGCTATCAGAAGCTGATTTCATCTTCTGTGTCTGTTTCTGAGCTAATCAGAAGCCTTCTCGTCAAAGCTATTCCAGAATAATGGGACTATTTCCGTCTTTGGTGGATGCCTTACAAAATTAAGGAGACTCCTACAAACGTGATTTTAAGAATTCTGGTCAGGTCAAATAAGTTATTTGTTCAAGATTAACCCTGTCTCAGAACAAAATACTCGGCTCTTATAAAGAACAAAAGGTAGTAAAACCGGTTTAAACTTGCAGCTTTTCCATTGTTTTTCTAGTCTTTGTAGGATAACTGAAATATAACAGCTAGCCAAGTCTTGCCGCCGATATTTTGACTCAGACACACCATACACGTTGCATGCAGTGTACATGTGCACTGCAATACTGAGGTCTTATATACAAGTGATACAGAACAACTAAATCAGTACACAAAAAATGAAACGGTTAAAAAATTGCTTTCGATTGTTTGTATACAAAGAAATGCCATTTTAAGTGATTTGCCTTGGCATGAAGAAATAGGTTATTCAGAGGGTCACTAAGCGGTCAACAGTTATTTTGGTTACGGGAAACAACTGTTTTCAGGAATTTAAAATGGACATCTATGTACTTTTTACTAAAGAAAATAATGTATACCCTGGCTGGTACATGTAGAAGAAAATCATTGCACCGACGAATTAAGATAAGTAAATGCATCTAGATCAACAGAGCAGCTATTGCCATGATAATGTCATAAGAAGATGAAACTTATTACCAAAGAATTCACGACAATTTGGCAGCCCAGTTCGTAGTTTTCCGTTGAAGAGTGGAAGCACAATTCAATGGACGGGGTTTGATTATGTTCGGTGAATAAATTCGCTGGAACAAAGAGAGCGAAATAGTTAAACTAAAACTCGCTGGAATTGCTTTGAAACGGCCTCCAAATGTCAGGAAAACATATAAGTAGTGCACAGAAGAGTCCACGTGAGTTGCTCTCATTGAATGTCTTTTTCATATTTCGAACTGTTATAAACGATCGTTACATTCCGATACAAACTTGCACGAGAGTGTGTGTAACAATTTAACTTTAAAATTTCCCACCCTTCCTGGCGTGGAGAAGGGCTTTTATTTGTTATTCTCCAATAAATTGGGGTCACTCCTTGTGATTCGGTTTAAGACTGAGTGGCGACTTCCTCCAAGCTTTGGCATTGCTTGCGTCCTGGTTGCGTTACATTCTAAACTCAGTTTGAATAGATTTTTAGATTTTTACTCCTTTTTTAAATAATAATTTTTAGATTGCGATATTTTAGTGATAATCTTTGATTATTGTTTATAGTAGATTTTTAACTTTTAGTACATTTAAGAGGGCCACAAATTTATTTTTTGATTTACTGTTACGTGTCACCCTCGATAAATAAAGTTTTGATTTGAATTTGATTTGATTTGATTTGATTTGAATAGTGACATTCAAAGTTAAAATAGGTTCGGACTTCAGTGAGCAACGCACGTAATACTGCTCTCTTGGAAGCAGCCTGATGGTTAATGTTCTGGGTTCGGCCCTGACCAGGATCACGTGTTGTACGTGTTCTTGGTCAAGACACTTTACTCCCAATGCTCTCTCTACCCAGGAGTATAAATGGGAACCGGCCGATGAAATCTTAAGATGGTGGGGGAGGGAGGAGGAGAAGGGAAGCGCGCCATCCAGTGGGCAGTATAGAAATACACCTAGTCACTTTAGGTTATGGAAACCGGAGATATGCGCAGGCCTGGTGGGCCACAAGGCTCGAAAATAAATTTCTTAAGCTTGCTTTAATTGCTAACATCGTGATAATTCTGTCTAAAAACTCCTGCTGGTCCGTATTTGGAACTATTCCACGTGGAAGAAATATCGCCTTTGATGCGTTTTTCGGAAAAATCAACTCAGCAATTTCTTCGGTGCAAATGTGTAGCCATTCCCCCGTTCACCGAGGATCGAGCAAAAGAAGGTCTATCTTTAAAAAAAAATATGTCTTTCAAAGTGCACCCTACAATTAAGTAAAGTAATTTAGCTTTAGAATTTGACAATAACTGATTCTTTTTATCAGTTAAATTTATCAGTGAAAACCAAAACTAATAGACCGAAATAAAAAAAAAATAGATTATTGTTAATGTGCTTGTGAACAGCTTAGGCTCAAGAGCCTGTGGTTCAAAAGGCGCTCATTGCATGTTGGAGTGGTAGATAAAGTCTGCATACCAGCCAAGTGGCCCATCAGGCCAGCGCTTATCCTGGTTTGCATAGCATGAAGCGACCAGGAGTACTTCTACTCCCCCCTGGATGGGATGCTAGTCCATCGCAGGGTTACCCCCAGCTTTAAGTTCCTTTCATTTACAGCATTTCAATTACATGTAAATTTACCAAATATTGCTTATATATTAACATCATGCATCTCTGCTACACGAGGAAAAAAAAAACGGCGAAATTATAAAAAATCATCTTAGGTCAGGGACGGACCATTGTTTTTAGAGGCGGGGATTTAGGCAATTTTCCTGGGCATGAAATATTTTTTAGGTTGTGCAGGAATTTTCTTGGTGGGAAAAGAGCTTGAATGTGCAAGAATTTTCAAACATCAAAAGTCAAAATAAGGGTAGTAAAAAGCACTGCCTCCTCCCCCACCCNCCCCCCCCCACGCCCTCAAAAAAAAATAATAAATCAATAAATAAAAAAAATAAATGAAATAATATAATGGCCCGTCCTTAACTAAGTCTCCTATTCAGCCGTTACTTGATGCGTTAGCTAACGTTCCTATCCCACTAACTTATAATCACAGTAGAGGAAGAGGATTGCGTGCAAGCCAAGCCCAGACTACATGTAAGCGACGAGATCACATGGAAATAATAAACTTCTGCACTTAAAGGTAGCTCGAGTTACTTAAAACAATTAAAACACAAGCATATAATTCATTTAGCCTAAAGGGGAAACTACCAAAACGACCCAAGCTATGCTTATCCTGATCTCACTGATATAGTTAGCGAATACAAAGGATAACAAAAAAAAAAAAAAAAAAAAACTTAGAGAACCTTGAACATCAACGTTATCTTTTTTGTCCCTGTCCCTAGCACTATTCGCCCAATATTGCAACACTGCCTGGGAGCAGAGCTCGAAAGATTGAATATGGACTTCACATTTCAAACGAATGTCCCACCCAGTGGCATTTTGTCAAGTTTAAATATGTAGTAAAGAGTGTTTATTACTTTGACGTGGAGTTTTAAATCTCTACCTCGCACAAAAATCCATTCACTTCATGCCGGTAGCTGAGGAGAGTGAGGGACTAAGAATGTAGCGTTTGCAGATGTCAGTTTGTACTAAGTAAACGCATTCTAATGTACATTTGCTAACCAATTACAAGACCCTTAATTTGTGTTGTGTCATTGTGCTATTTGCCGCCAAAACTACATACACTCTTTCTTTTTTTATAAGAATATGTTTTACAAGAATATCGGGGCTGAAATTTGCGAAATTTTAAGACTATTGTAAGGATAAACCCGAGGCTGAGATTTTGAAAAGGACATAATTTGTGGGTCAAAAATTTGTGAAGACAATACGATTATATGTTTCTTTGTTGTTGTTGTTGTTGTTGTTTTTTTTTTTTTGTTTTTTTTTCCACTAAACCGTATAAAATTCTTTCATTCTCTAAATGGCAAAACTGGCCAAAGAGCAACGAAAGCAGCACTAGCCGTATGTTCGATGCTAAAAACATTTCTGTAAGACGTTATGCTTGCAGCCCGGCTCCAAAA